TGACAATGGGCAGGGCACATAGTATGCAGAACTAATGGCCGATGGGGCAGCAAGGTTCTGGAGTGGACGCCACGTACCGGAAAGCGCAGCGTAGGACGTCCACCCACAAGGTGGACCGACGACCTCATAAAGGTAGCAGGAAGGTGTTGGATGCAGGGCACCACCAAGCGGCCATTGTGGAAATCATTGGGGGAGGCCTATGTTCAGCAGTGGACGTTCTATGGTTGAAATGATGATGGATGATGAATAATGTGTAGAAGAGGGTTACGGATATTTCCATTTGTGGTGGAATTATTTGACTAACTGAATGGAGAGCCAAAAAAAATATTTTTTACTATATGGGTTGAAACCCTTACTGAACCCACTACCTACTGTAATCGATTATGACAGTCAAAATGATTTAAGGATCTATTCAGGACTACTCTAGAAAGTTAAAAAATCTTTCATAACCATTGAAGTCAAGGGTTCTTGCTTGAAGACTTTTTTTAATCATGTATGTCCACCTTTTTTTAATATCAAACTACTGTGCGGCGCCGCTGCCGCGCCGCTGTTTTCGAGAACCGGTCAATTTGATTTTACGCATAAGATCCTGCCGCTCCCGCGCTGCCGCCGCCGCCGCCCCGCTGCCCGCTAAGTTCGAGGCTGAGGCCTTACAGTGCGCGTGGACGCACAGGGTGACACATGAACCAATCACAGAGCTCTATTCAACGCTGTGTGCGTTCCATTTGCTGCTTCACTTAAGCAAGCATATCGGTTGTGAATACGGGCGTTAGTTACGTTACGATGAAAGTTGTTGAATAAATGTACCAACTCTACATTTTCTTCTTTAATTTCATTCTCTATTTATGTACTTAAACTAATTGTTTTGTGCTGTGGTTTACTTATACACGGTGTACCTATTCATTGCGTTTAATGTATGTAATGTTGAAATACACGGGCAATAATTCTGATAAAGTCTTGTATTTTAAAGCTGTATTAAAGGTATATCATATAAATGTAGTACAAAATATAGTGGTTTCTGTAACTAAGGGACTTGTATATTGTTTTACCTACATTAAAAGTTTATAAACATTATGAACACCTATTAATCATTTACGGGATACGTGACCTCTTCACGTGACAATAAAGCTGCAAAGTTCAATGAAAATGATTAACATTAATTACATAATTGAGTAATTTATATTATAAGATAATTAATTAAGGTTATCACTTTAATACAAAATTTGTGTCCACATACAAATATTTGATAATAAATAACACGATAATAGATCAATCTATGTATATGACTACTTACTTAATTTTATTAAAATTTGTGTATCATCAGTGTTAACATTTGCATTTTGATAAATAGGAAAAAAATGCTAATTATATTTAGTAAAATTAATAAATAATTGGACAATGTCATCTTACAAACTGTTAATTGCAATTAGATATGACATACCTACCTACCCACAAAAAAATACATATTGAATGTCCATAGGCAACGAATATATGCTTTGCTGTAATGTTTGTGGATTTTTAAGGTACAGATATTTTTTTTCTTACCTACTTCTTAATATTTGATATGATGAATGGCAATTCCATGTAAAATTCTGATGAATCTGCAGTCTCACACCAAACCCACCGCCAACATGTGTCGCCGACTTTTTATTATGTTGTCAAAAGTCATAGAAAGTACATGTAGAGTCCATATGAGAATTTGTGTGCAACTTGATACAACCTGGGGGATTAAGCATAACTTAAGCTATGAAAAGATGTCTCCCGGCCTGACGAATGGGATTTACTAAATATACATTTTAAATAAACAACTTGAAAAAAGGCGGGTCCAGCCTTAGGCAGTTCGATTTTTTCAAGTTGTTTACTTAAAACCTAACCTAATGATAAAGATGGTGAAGATTTAACGACATTTTTCAGGTGTTATCTTAATCGTTAGAGAGATGTCAGTAGGAATAAATGAACATTTGTATTCCTTCCTACCGACATGACAATATGCATAATTTAATGTCATTCAACTTTAGGAGAGATCAAGCAATTCAAATATAAAGGGAACTTTGAACTGCTACAGACTGACGGCACTTGGTAGACATCTAGTGAGGGGTTAATTATTATAATGTATTCAAAATGCACGTTGCAGACACAGCACGTGCTTGTATGGCGACCTCAGCAGCTGCATCTTCATGTAATATTTGTGTAGTACAGAGTGAAATGTGACAGGCAGATGGTGAAAATTATAAGTAGGTTTTATACTTAAAGCGTTTCAGCTGCACAAATAATTATCTACCATTAGGTAATCTATTAACATTTCCACCAAACCATAAATCTGGTAATTAAAGTCAGATTTTACATGTGGTGACCCTAACAGCAAGATAGGGAAAATGCGCTGGCGCAGTGGAAACGCCCGCGGCGATAACCCGCGGCGTCCCCAGACCTGTCTTCCGAGCACGCGCAGTGAGCCTGGCCCCACAGATTATGAAACAGAAGTCTATTCTTCTCTGTTAGTAACAAATAAAGCCAGTTTTCAGCATTGTTTATCTGATTTTGGGCATCATTTGAGCTTGGTATAATGAAACTGGTCCATTCATTGTAGGATTAATATTGGGACTTGTAAAAGTGCTTTTTAAAAGCCTAATTACTTGCGTTTATGAGTAAATAGGTATAAATAAATAAATTAGTCATAAATGAGTTTTATAATTTTTTTATGAGTTTTGTGGTTTTTACGGAGTCAGGATTAATTTATACACAAGTAAGTAAATCAGGACGCTTTTTATTGATCGTTATTAGTACATTTTAATTCATGTATCATTCATTTCATTCAAATAAATGTTGGATTCCAACATATCGTCGTTCATATTGCAATTTGTTCAATTCAGAAAAAAATCAAAACAAATTTCTAACATATTATATTATTTACAAAAATTATTTATTTCAGACAATTTTAAAAGTATTTATGGAGACTTTTATTATATTAAAAAGAACACATTGCTTAGGAAACATTAGTTAAAAAACATTTTGGTGTATTAAAAGATTTTTTCCCGTACGCTGTTTTTTTTACTCTCCTGTAAACTTTTCATTTTTGACATATAACAAATTGCAATATGAACGACGATATGTAGAACATGGATAAACATGTAGATCAAGTATAGTGAAAAAGATGCTAGGAAGCTTTTGAAGAAAAGGAACTAGGTTCCAAATAAATATTAAAGCAGTGATAGACTCAGCTGTATGTCATTGTAACATTGAAAAAATTTTGTATTCACCTAATACATGTGAGTACTATGAGTACCAGCTACAGGTAAAATGACGTATGGGTAATTTTGGCATAACAATTATAAGAATACCTTACGCATTGACCATATCTAATAACGAAATTTATGTAATAAGAGATCCATTCAAATAAACTAAAAAATACAAATGGTCTTCCAATCAAACTCAAAGATAAAATCTGTCTACTCACGGACATTGCCCGCGGGCGGCGTGACCGGAGGGAGCGGCGAGCGTTCGGCGAACGAACGAGCAATGTTCGGTTCGCGAGCGAACATCGAAGAAGACGATTCTGACACACTCTCTTCAATGACTTTGCACTAAACGGTCTCGATATTATTGTAAATTTATACCGAATAGACAATTAATTTTATACAGTCCACTCTTTTCATTTATTAACTTCCACTACACTCACTATCGAAGTAACAAATCCATAAATTAAGTAATAAATACTTAGGCAACAAATGCAAATTCTAAAATACTATTTATTTACTCCGTAAATCATCTATACTTTTGTACTTATAGGCAATACCACGCTAATCTATCGTGGGACTTGTAATAAAAAGTATTAATTGCGAGCTATTAATTAACCAGTGGGTCAAAGATAGTGTAAAAATCAGCTGGCTACCGTCATGTTACTTGTGTCTTCCACGAGCTCACCACATGCACTCTTTGTGGAGTCCACGGCTCATCAGCCCATACATTTTTCTTGTAATATAGATCATATTACAACTACATAAGATGCCCCTGTGATAAGCTTAATTTTCCGTCAGCTGCACCTATATTTTTGTATGTAATAAATAATACATTGTCTCGATTAACATTATATTTTTATAGGTACGTGATAAATATTTATTTACGATGTGAGGAAAAATTATTATAATATTCCTTTAAATTCGGATCTGGTTTCATCTGGAACCTAAGGTCTTCAAGCGACGCGGTGTAATTTGAACTCGTTTAATTTTAAAACAATTGATTTGGATTTTGGCTTAGCTAGTAGATAAGTTTTTTGAGCTTTTAATACCCATCATATTTAAATTACTAGGTTTAATAAGTTAAGTTTATTAAGTTTTGGTTTTGATTGCTGCAAAATATTTTGTTAACGAACGGCAAGCGCTAAGCTATGTAAAAAGTTTTTCAATCTTAGTAGTCAAACTGAGGTGATTAAAAAAATATTTATAATAAAACTGTCTAAAAATGATCATGATAGAACTTAGGTTCTTCTTAAGTTAGGTATACGAATAACAGGTTCCTATTGTTGCCCTCGCCACAATCACTGACGTGCGGGCCTAATATTGATATTGCTAAGTATAAAATCAATTAGTAGTAATATACAAATTAAATTGATGACACTTGCACGTAGGCACGGGTATAAAAATAGCTGGTGATAATTGCAATGTTCACTGAAAAGTATAATTTTATATGTCACAAGTATTTGTGAATGTGGGGAAAATTTTCAATCTGGTAAAAATAGCTACCAAGGTGTTAATAAGGTTATTCTTGAATTAGCGATAACAAAAATATTTGGGACATAGCTGTTTTCGTCTCGTAAAAATACTGAATTATATCGTAAGTACCTATATACTGTAATGATAACAAAATTGTTTAATATTCAGGTCATAATTTCTCCAATTCATAAAATATGTCAGTTCCCAAAACCACAAATAACCGTCCTACCTGCTAAAGTAGTTCCGAATATGAAATATTCGATGAGTAATAAATTACAGCATTTTGGGGCATAAAGTATACTTTAATAAACAAGAATATTTAATATATTAATGTAAATTAATGGCTGATTCACAATGACGTCAATGAGTGACAAAAACGGCATAATGAATATTTTGTTGTTCATACTGCTCACGTGGCTTGGGTGTTTGTAGACTGATTTGTAGATGCTAGATAATATCTCATAGATGCATCTTAATTACAGTGGAAAAATAGGCAAAACGTATTGAAAGAATGAGTTTGCCACGGTCCATAAAGCTAAGTACTTAATTGGAAAAATACAGATAACCCACCACCGCAATATTATACCTAGACTTATACTATAATAGACTCCAGACTGTTAAATTATGTGCAGTCTACTACAGTCGACAGAACTTTTGACAATTTTGTTGCAAAAACCCTCATACTATTTAATAACTAGGCAAGGTTTATCATGCCATCGTCTCTACATCATCCATTACTATACCAAATTTACGTACAAATGTATTTTTAACACATAATATTTATTGCGTTGCGAGATTCGAATCCCAAAACCGCAGTTGATAATGTGCTAAAATCACGTAAAGTACTCGAACCTAAAGGTCTCCCACACCTGGTGCATTTGCTTGTACTGTAACATTTCAGATTTGGTGTTGAGCATTACTTTACAATAGCTCACTGACTGATTGAGCATTTGTTTGTAATGCAATGCCATTTATGTTCGAATCTGTAACATTACAGGTTGCGCACTGTAATTTAGCTCGGTTCACATGCCTCACTGATGCCCGATTGTAGCGTCACATTACAGGCAAATGCTCTCAAGTCATTGTCATAATTAGGTATGTTTAAAAGTTCTCGCAAATAAACGTAATCTATTTTTGCACTGAGATTATAACAATGAATGCCTGTTCCCAAGGCAGACTTAGTGACGTATTTAGACAGAAAGGTCATTGATCGAATGCACTTGACCAACTAGGTTACTCACATGTAACAATTGGTAAGACACGATCTGAACAGACGAAAAATCTTTCCGCATATCTTTTTAATTTACCTACTGTTTTTAAATATTGAAGATTCTCATCTTATATTTAATTTTGAAGATAATTTCCAATTTTATTTAAGACAATTATGATAATTAGGTACATCGAAGATGATACAAAGGTTAGCAAAAGGTTGTGGGTCAGTTCCCACTCGCGACAGCCGCTTTGTTCAAGTAAAATATCATTTCCTGTAAAAAAATATTATTATTATAGATCTTGCCCTAAAATGATTGCATGTTTTCAGTACGACTAGCACGAAAATCTTTCGAATTCAAATCGTTTGCGTACTCGAATCGCCATCAAAAGATTTAGTAAGAAAACTACAATAGCGCCCTTGTGAACGTGTCTTAAAGTGCACTTAATATGAGATGTGGTTGCACGAAACTTATTTTGAGAATTAAAATTGTCACGTTATCGTTTAATTCGAAAATTGAGTATCGAATTTTATCGAATACGCAAACGATTCGAAGACGAAAGTTTTTCATGCTAGAGGTACAGGACAGAAGTAGCAATCTCGTACCAAAATTCCATGAAAATTTGATTTAATTAAGAGCGTTTACGCGAAGCGCGGCGTTTCAAGGGGCATCATTGGAAATGATTCGCGCGCGGCGTTTTTTAATAGTTTTCAAATGTTTATAGCAAAACAATAACAATGAATTAAATATCGTTTCAAAGTAAATATTTTAAAGAAGATGTTGTTTTATTGTATTAAGCTATTTTAATGTTGAATAAAGGAAGAATATTGGTGAAAAAATCACTTTGATTTTTGGGTATTTCACGTTCTTTTAATTTGTGATTTCTTATTGTAAAATGCTTAAATCTAAAAATTTTCTGAGATAACTATTTGCCCAAGGATCTATGCTATAGGATATAAATGTTTGTTAAATAGTTTTCACAGTATTTTTATAAAAATTTCAGCTTGTAAACTGACGCTAAAGTGGAAATTTACAAAACCTGTGTGGACTTATCTTGATAGAATTCTTAAATAATAAACTAATCGCAATATTTTCTCAATTAACTATTTAGACGATGAAATTGCCTAACTATTTATGCCTATAACATATTTGTAGTATTACTGGTTAATGATTGTAACGAGTTGAAAAAGTACTGTTTTTGCGCCAAACGGTGTAAACGCTCTTAAACAAAAGTAAAACTGATGCAATGGGCATTATTTGTAGGAACTGTGCTATCGATATAATATTACAGTGATTTATTATGTCTAGTAATGTTTTCGATGTAACCCCAACATAGTTGCGTCAATCGAATCCAGTGCGCGAGATAAGGCTACCCTTCCACTAAATATTATGCTAATATGCACAGCGAGGGAAGTTTATGATAACCAGAAATTGAATTTAGAAGAGTGGTAATAGAAGTTATAAGTTGGACTCACTCCTATATACATTCGTTTCCCAAATATTATGTAGTTAGTTGTTCCTAGTTTGATTAGAAAATATAGGTTTCAGTTACACTTACTTATAGCCGTCGCCTCCGTAGCTATGTCGACTTTCATTGGATCATAGTTTGATGCTAAGTTGTTACTTCAAATGTACAGAAGAAACGAATTTACACGATAGAAGAACCAATATGATTGTTAGATTAACAATTTTCATGTTGTCTGGGCTGTAAGCTTCTGTCGTCGTAGAAATAGAGATATGGTTTTACTACTAGAAGTAAGCAGAAATGTTACGAGTAGATTCAGTACGGCTAGCACGAAAAACTTTCGAGTTCAAATCGTTTGCGTACTCGAATCGCCATCAAAAGATTTAGTAAGAAAACTACAACAGCGCCCTTGTGAACGTGTCGTAAAGTGAACTTAATATGAGATGTGGTTGCACGAAACTTATTTTGAGAATCAAAATTGTCACGTTATCGTTTAATTAGAAGATTGAGTATCTAATTTTATCGAGTACGCAAACGATTCGAAGACGAAAGTTGTTCATGCTAGAGGTACAGGACCTTCACACAGCTTATACGCTTCGTTTACCACTTCATAAATATCTTAGCTTAACTAAAGGTTAACTAATTTTACCGCTTAGATACCGCTTAGACCTGTGGAGGCTCAGCCTTAGTTCGGGGCGCCACGCGAGGGCGGCGCCACTGGCAAAGACCCGTCTGTGTACCGGACTCGCCCAGTTCGAACCGCATTGCTCTGATAAACACAAACAAGCATAATTACTGTTTAATGTGCTATTATGATAACATGTGATAGTGGACTTATAAACCTGGAAGTTGTTGTTATTTTTGGTGTTACTTGGTGATGTTGTTAAGGAATGTCACCGCAATTTTTGCATGACTGTCCACGGCCGCGACTTTGCTTGTGAGGACTGCATCAAAATTGGTTCAGCAGTTTACATTTATGACTTAACAAACTGAAAGATATATCTATTGAAGGATAGAAAATTTTATTTTATTTACTTTTTATTTTGTAGGTATCTGTGAAAAACTTCGCTTGTTTCAAAAAAGTAAAATAAATAAATATTAAAAAAAAATACTTTGAATCCAAAACAACATAATATAAACGTTGGTTTTCATCTCTTCTGACATCAGCGGTATGATATCATCTATCTTTCTATTTATTTATCAAATAATAAAAAAAAAATATCGCATCCGCTTAATAAATTATGTAATTTATTACCTCGTCAGCCCAATAATGTTCGAAGAAAACAACACGAAATAATATCTTTGTTATTGTCTCAAAGGATTGTTTTGATAAAATATTTAAATGTATTCTTTCTACACAAAGCTAAATAGAATAAGCTCGTTTGGCGTGCGCGCGCGTTATCTGTCAGATCGCATTGACGTCAGCGGCGCAGGCGCAGCGCTAAACAAATTGGACATAGTTAAATGTCGAAATCAAGCTATTAAGTTAAAATAAACTAACAATCTGGGCGCTTTAATTGATGCAACTGGTAGATTTCGTCGATTTTAAAATAGGTACGGAAGCACTTGATATCTAAATCTAAAAGTTTAGGATGCATTAAATTTAATATCATAGAATATCGTAACATCTTTTAACTTTAATCAGATAATATCATTAAACATACTTAACTTCAATACGCGTACAGGTGACTACGAGATTGCTACGAAAGTTTTAGGCTACGAAATTCTCTCTCTAAGATTTGGCAACCTTATTCTAAGTGCCCCTACATTGTATGCATTATTTAACTGTTGAAAGAGTGTTACACGATATTTTTACGTATTTACTCATTGTGGTATGTGTTAGAACTAAACAGGGTCACGATGTGTTTATAATATTACTGATTTGGATATGTGGAATTACTGGTCCACTTGGTTTATGAAAATACTTACTTCCCCATACAAAAAGCTCTACCCAATATATGTGTGATAGAGATGTGTCTCTTACTTTTATCCGCATATACCTATTACGTCATTAAATCAGGATCCTCTATAAGTAGGTACCTACTTAGTAACTTACCTGAAATGTTTATCAATAAATGTCACATCATCGCAAGTGTCAGTCAATCCCCTATCTTTATACTGGCCGGAACGAAGAGCCACGTCGAAATCAATTGTCTTGGTATTGTCTCGGAATATGCGGTGAATGAAAGGTTAATGTGTCCTTATAAAGTCGCTAAACTGGACAACAATGAGGTCAACACAGGTCATAGACAAATAACAAAAAAGAATCTAATCACCTGATGAGTCAAGGGCGCGGATTCCTGTTATGTTTTTTGCCATAGCATAAGTATTTTTTGCTTTAATTTATAAATGACACATATCCAATCAAATGACCATAACGAATGTTTGCCTTAAATTAATTACGAGTATTACATATTTATTATTTAAGAATTTGATGTGAAAATTATTATTACATATTAGAATTTATTGAATCAACGTGCTGCGCTTACGCATAATTTGTGCGAGCGTGGGTATCGAAAAAAAAATGACAAAAAAATAGGTAGGCAAAGGGGTGGTAGAGCGAAATTTTATAATGAGAGATATTATTGCATAATGTTTTGTGTATTTAACTTAGTTCATGATACGAGTACATGCGTATCTACGTTTTTCTGCATTCAAAAATAATTCGCTTACATAGAGGCTTTTATAACAATAAAGTGCCTACGTAAATCGAAGAGCCTATTTTTTTCGAGCCAATGCCAAAAAACAACTAAGTCGTGACTCAGTTTAACAAAGCAACGCGATCCATTCACCTTGCTTTGTGTGTTTTGACATTTTTGGCCGACTAATCTTGTCTATTGTTTAACTGATAAATCGTTTGAACTGGCTAAATTGTAAGAGGCAAATGTTTAAAACTGTTTCCTTATAAATTGGTAGTTTCTAGGCTGATATTGTATTTGCCATTTGACTGTGAATACGATATCTTAATAGGTACGAGTCTAATTTCAGTTTTCAAGTTACGTCACTTACTTGCCTCCCAGAGTAAGCTTTAATCGTAAAATGTTGCCTTAGAAACAATTATGTATACCTCTTAAATTACATAATTCAAAAACCCAGATTACAATATTTAAAAACATTTTCCTGCGCGATAACGTCTATTCTACTTATTTATATTTTTGGGGTTCCGTAACAAACCAGGAATCCTGTTGGCTTAAGCATTTCTGTGGGTTTGTTAGTAATCTAGCACAGCCACTAAGTACCTACTTACAATAAATTATATTCATCAGAATTCTGGAATACAGCATGATTTACATGTTGGTCATACAATAAAGATTTTAATGGGGCAAAATAAAAAAAACCTTTTACATTTAGCATACATGTAATTTAAGTAAGCATTACAACGGCTACAATTTCGTTTGTGTGAATTCTAAAAACCTCTATTCAGCAAGTACTTTTCACTCGTTGACTCTTTATAAACTTTCGGGTAGATAATGAGGGTTGAATCACTCGTATAGAATTTTAAACATTATTATTATTACGGGACCCCTTGTATCTTGTTTTGTCTGAAATACTACATTTATCATGTTTTTTCATATCTGAATTTTATTACCGACAATTTTAATCTCTTCAACCAGCAGCCAGCCACGCCTCTTGTAAACATAATATTATACTACTAGCGGCCGCCCGCGACTTCGTACGCGTGGATCCCGTTTTACCCCCTTCATCTATCTTACGCGGTTTAGATATTTTCATACAAATGTTTTTTCCCGCTAACTCCCGTTCCCGTGGGAATTTTGCAATATCCTTTTGTAACTAAGCTTTAAGTTTACTAAGGTACCTGCATGCCAAAAATCAAGCGTCTAACTTAAGCGGTTTAGATTTTTCATACAAAAGGATTTTCCCGCTAATTCCCGTGCCCGTGGGAATTCCTAAGTATCCTATAACCTGCCCAGGAGTACGAAGAATAATTGTACCAAGTTTCGTTAAAATCCGTCAAGTAGTTTTTGTTTCTATAAGGAACATACAGACAGACAGACAGACAGACAGAAAGACAGACAGACAGACAGACAAAAATTTTACTGATTGCATTTTTGGCATCAGTATCGATCACTAATCACCCCCTGATAGTTATTTTGAAAATATATTTCATGTACAGAATTGACCTCTCTACAGATTTATTATAAGTATAGATTAAATTAGGATAAAGAGTAATGTAATTAAGATAACTTTATAACTACAATAAAAATAAATATTGCTACGTATGTACCAATCAAACAAAACAAAGGTTTTTTAGTCCTTATTAAAAACTTATTTAGAGATATCGTTAAAAGAATACGACTTTTTAATGATCCACCTAACAGTGACGTAAGTTCAGATAACCGTGTTTTAATATTCGGTAATATTTTAGTTTGTCAGTTGTTAAAATTATCTTCTGTGGCCCCTCACTTACTTCCACTTTCATTAGTGGGTTATCTTAATGCCCACTTTCTCTTAATGTTGGTTGCCAACCACGACCTATATCAACAGGCAGTTCCAAGATGATAACATTGTCAATATTAAGTACTTAAATAACCAAATTACCGGTATTACTCATTCCATTTATAGCTCTAATTGATAGTGTAGGTAAGTCATATCTACATGAAGAATAATAACTGCTATTTGATTTTATTATTCTATCTTCTTATATTGGGTGTAAGACTTTTACGCACTAGTTTCACTACAAATGCGTCCACATCACGTACACTGCCTGCAGTTTAGTTTAACCACAGTAGATATATGAGCTAAAGCAGTACGGAAACTTAGCCCTTTCGGCGAGTTAAATACCTACACTTCAACTGAGTGTTAGGGTTGGCACTCTTAATCTTTATAAAATTAATAAGGTTCTGACTTACTTATTTATTAAAATGTTTATTTAGGTTTTTTAATTATCAAATACCTAATGGAATAAATCAATTGACTAAGTAGTTAACAAAAAAATAAAACGTTAATTAGGTTCTATAATGATCGAATACATAATCGAATAAATTGATTAAGTACTATTAGAGGCCGGTAGAAGATATTCTATTCTCATAAATAAAATACCGGATACTTACTTTCACATAGCTACTTATTGCCTCATTTTAAATACAGTTCATCACTTAGTACAAAAGTGCACGGAGCAAATTACTTTATCAAATAGAACACATAAATTGTTAAAAAGCGTAATTACGTAATTTAAAAAGAACTATTACAAAATCAGATGGAAGCAGTTTATTTAAAAAGTAATATTTAATCATTTTTACAATTCATAATTATTACGAAGTTTAAAAAATGAAAGTTCTGGTATGGAAGATGCAGAGTTCAAGCAGCCGTATACTACGCAATACACTCGTGACATATTTTTTAAAAATACAGCGGAACGTGCATGCAATAAAATTATTATAAAAACACAACGCGCGCGACACTCGCGACGGATGGACTGCGAGGTTCGCTTAGAGCTCGTGTAAAGCGTGCGTCTGTGTGCGTGAGTCTGATTTCGAGCGTTTGTATGAAGCTTCCGTACTGTTTGATTTATCTACTGTGGTTTAACCGTTCGCTTTTAAACCCCATGATTCAAAAGTTACACGAATTTGAGCGTCGTTGCAGTAGAGATAGTGATTAATGTCGAATGTACCCATCAAAGCACGCCGCGCCTGTCTATAATAAGAATAACCGCTATACGGGACGCTTCTACGAAGCGGGGAGTCGGACGGGTTTCATCCACGAGCTCTTTTAGAAGTTATTCATAAATCTCCAAAAGATACGCTCAGAATCAGTGTAAGAGTTGATCTTTTAAGTACCTAACAAGTTACCGAGATTAGAGATTTGGGAATCGTATTGTGACTTTCATTCATAAGATTGATTCGGTGTGTGAGAGGTTATGTTGACAAAGGAGTTTTGGAGCCGCGTAAGTACTGCCATAATTTATGTATTTCGGTTAATATCTCATTCAACGTTTAATCTTTTAAAGTGATGTTACAGGTGTGTTTTATTTTAAAACATTATTAAGTAAGCCGATATTTATACTTGAAACCTTTAGTCAGATAGTTTTGTATGTATTTTTTGAATAATTGATTTATGATCAAAGACATTGTGGCTATAGATTAGTCAGCTGTGCAGTGACGTCAATGAGACGGTTAAAGTCGAGTAAAAAGATAATTAATTAAGTTAGGTGTTAACTATTATTTGCATAGCCTTTGAATCGATCATTGATTTTATATTATTACGGTGGCTCTAACAAAACAATGCGATTGTTTAATGATTTGCAATCATTACAATTACTATTTGCTTATTGTAAAATCTACAATTGGATCTACATAGACAATAACTTGCGCATGTTTATTGTAGTGA